ATGACACTGATGATGATGATGATGATGATGATGATGATTATGGTGGTCGTACAACGAGCGGGAAATCGCTCGAGCATTAGAGGAAAGATGAATAGAAGGTCGAGGTTATGGTACATTGAGGATGCTGGATCTGTAATCTCATCTGTCATGATCCTAGATCGTTATCTCATCTCGAATGTTTACGATCGAATATACAAAAAGACCGAAAGGTGTAACAGGGATTTTGATTTTTAACGAAAGGGGGGTAAAAAAGAACATGACCAGATTTTTGAACTGCACGATACCTTATAGAAGCTATTAGAATGCATAGAGTTAAAAAAATAATAAAAATGAACGAACCAAGAGATCGGCCTGTTATTCGCGCAGCGCGCAATCAGGATAAGTACAATACTCAAGGCACAGCGTTATTACTTTTTGGGAAAAATAAGAAAGAAGTGGTAAGCATCGTGAGAGGGCGACTCTTAAATTAGATTGCAAAGCCGTAAAAGCACTGAGTTGTGCTGGGCTTAAGTGCCGTAGGACAATCATTAGGATGAATACTATCCTACGAACGTCACCATCATTCAGAATAGAAAATAATCTTTAATATTTCGTTCTCTGAAGCTGCTATACACTTGTAATACCACTTAGAATCTGCACTAAACGTCTTCCTAATACTTTCAGGATACTATGCTTACCGTCCTATAATAAAGTGGAATTTGAACTTTTATTCTTACTTCACCTGAACTAATGTACCAGGAAGGAACGAGCCATTTCTTGTGTAACATGTAAAATATCACCAGGAGGGTAATATAATTTTATTTTTTTATTTATTCATTTTAATTCTTCCTTTTGGCTTCCTGGCTATTTTATAGCTCGGATAAGAATCTAGTTGAAGTCGCAATGTTGCCAACCTCAAGGTAGAATTTATTCGTGTCCTTGGGCAACCAACAAGTTCGTCTTCAAGGCTGGTTCTTGCTCCTTCTTGGAGCTTCTATTCACTTGTCTTTACCAACTTGCCTTTCTCTACTCTCAGTACTTGCAGTAACGTAGTATATATATACACTAGTATATATATACATAGATATAGAAAGACGACCATTACCAGCTCCGAGTTGCTCCATTTGCATTGAGAAATAAGAAGACGAATTGAAGATCCGCCTAGGAGTCTCCTTATAAAAATCTTGGACACGAGAGCCAATGAAGAAACATCCAAGAAATCCTTGGACAAGTTGTGGCCCAAGTTGAAGTATATTTTTTGCAAATTCCAAATGGAATATTATATTGTAATATATATTATAATATTTTAAAAAACAATCATCTATACCCATACGGACGATAATATTTGTCGGATGAACAACGAAAATCCTGAATCCAGGATCAGAGGGAATATATTTAAAAAAAAAGGTGGACCTTGTGCTGTCTTCTTGAAAATTGTCTTAAATCTTGAGGATCGTCCTTTTCTAATAATATCAAATAAGGATGGCGTCACTATGGCAACTAGAAGAGATGAGTCAAGGGCTCTGCTTGTGAGGTCGTTGCTCGGTACCTCCTACTAGCTGGCAAGGAGTCCCAAGACTCCATTATCATATTTCTGCAGTCTCTTCAGCCCTCTCCGACGGTCCTCCCACTAGAGGTCTGCACCCTCCCAGCAGAATCTAGCCACTAATTACTTTGAGGATTTATCGAGATCGTACTCTCGACCACAAGCTTCTCCCATGCAGATAAATAGAATCCCAAAGGATGGCTATCGGAATCTCCTAGATTCAATGCCTTTGTCTGAGATACCGTTTTTCATTTGAATAATGCTGCCTTCTTCGGCTACGCGTACTCAAGTAGTTACAATGTATACGATCCGTGAGAATAAAGTCTCGCTTCCTAGGTTTCTGATCAGTTTTAATATAGGAATCCATTAAATTAGAATTCCCGCAGAGTTCCCACGCTATCGGAATAGCTGTTAAAAACTAAGATAACTGCCAACAGTACGTTACGATACTCTTGCAAGATGTTAAAAAATATTTCACCCATGATAAAATTATCGGATTAATATTGCTGCATGCGATTGGGATTTAAATAGGTGATAAGAGCAAAGAACACATTTCTCCAGTCAGTTAACGTCAAGACGGAAGGTGTCTTCTCGAGACCGTGATTAATCCACCGCGACGGTCTATACGGCACAAATTCTATATTATATCGCCTGGAGTAACGAACTTTAGCAGAGTTTTTAGTGTCCAGGATCACGATCGCGATCATACTCTAAGACTTTATCGGACTTACCCATCGAACACGATCCCTGCCGGGTGACCCTTAGTGGAAATCTTGAAATCCGGGAGTCATTGCCATTACCATGACGCTGAGAATTATCATCGTATCCAGTATCAGAAGCTTAACCTAACACCTAAGACTGAATTTTCATTGCGGAGTATAAAGTTTAGGGAAAGTTTTATGATATAGCCGGTCCACGAGTTCAATGTGTTTTTTGATAGATCGAAAACAATGTACGGCAAGGTACGCGTCCATTTTGTTATTTTTATCCAATATTTACATTATTTTACGAAAAACGACGTGTGACTTTCTGAAGATTGTATTGTTTGCGAACTGTCCAAAAATGTATTAAACCCATGGACCGACTATAGATATTTATTACTACGTTATTACTACTGGGACATACTAAACTTTTAGTACGAAAAAAAAAACCTGCCCGAATTGTCTATAAGTATTATGTGTATACTTAAATTCAAGTTGAAAGGGTATTGATGAATCTTCGTTATACTCGCATGCACTTAAATGCACTCCAATTAACTTGAGCTTAGGCATCCCGGCGAGAATCAGATTATCTGCCGAGATGAGGCTACGTAGAAATACAAGAAAAATTCGATTCCCGAGCGATAAATCTTCGCGGAGAAGTGGTTTCTCTAGGTATCAGGGAAGATGGTAGCCTGGGGTCTATCTCGAGGAGAAATAGCAGGGATTTATCGCAGCCCATTTGGCGAAATCCGCACCAGATACCGGAAGGCGATCCGAGAGCAAAACCGGTTGAGTTTCTCGTTCACGGGACCGGTTGTGACGTAAAGGTCAAAACGACTTTTCTTACACGGTAGGAAGATACGCGCCGATAAGAAAAACCTATGAGGAATCAAAGTAGAAAAGATAATGGTAAGATATTTTTTTTTCTTATCTCTTCCTTATTACGACACCGTTTCTACTTTAATCTTACACTTGTCTTGGCTTACGTGCTTTTAATTCTGTTTCCTTATAGGGGTCAGCCAATTGCTTAACCCCTGTCTCTCGTCTCCACTACAGTTTCCCTAGAGTAGAGAGAAGGGATTTTCTTCCAGTGCTTTTTCGTCTAGTTTTACTGTTAATGACCGACCCTTTACGCCTCGTAATTTCACTAGAAAGGATCCCACACAACAGCTTCTTCCTGGGTGACTCGTACACTTGGGTACGCCGTAACGATGTTGGGTAAGGTCACAGGAGATGGGTGGGAGGTTCCTGACCCTTTGACCTCTCTACTAGGCCCGACGGTACCACTCGGAACGTCGACATAATAAGATACGTCTCTCTCTGTGCTTCCAGAGGGAGATCCACTACGGGTAATCCTTTACGGAACACAGCAAACTATTCCTTGCTATTATTTAGCGTGAAACACGAGAAAAGGAAAATTGTATATTTTCTTAAGTCTATTAAATACGCGAAAAAGAAAACTTGTTATGACTTAAAAAATAGACTTCTTCCATGAACTAAGATCTGCCTTTCTCTGAAGGTAAATACATAAAATATTCCTACTGTGAGGAACAAAAATTACCAAGGACCGCTAAATAATTGTAAATAGCGTTTTAATTGACTTGATTTTTTATACCGGGTGTAAAGTACAATCTGCGTGTGTTCTGTGGTTAAGCTCATGTGAAGTTTCTTGTGTTCGATTGAAATTATTGGGTATGCACTGAATTTCACTGGACTGCGATTGAACTTACCTACTGAGCAAAACACTACGACCCTCTTGCGGGTTAGGGCTCGCACCCAACAGATCTACACCTCATACACGGTGCGAATTTCGAGCAACAGAAAGCGCTGTGAAAAAAATATATAATCAGTTTAGATCGGTAAATTGCACAAACTGATTATCTGACTTATCGTTGGAGTTAGGATAGCAGGTATGGTTAACGAATTGCCGTCTAAACGGCGCATTCGCAGGAAGTTCTTCTTCCTGCCTCGATATGTCTTCGATTAAATGTCTGCGATTAGCCAGTATTTTTATGACCTCACGCGAGGCGGAGTAGGAAGAAGCAATGGAGCAGCGAACTGGACACGGTATAAAAAAAGGTAGAAGAAGCGTTGCGGTTCGTGCCGATCAGCCATGAGAGCTGTGACAAACGCTTCCTTGAAGAACCAGCCGTCCACCAGGCCATCTTGCCAGCTAGCCGACTCGATTCGAGTCTACGTGGCTATTCTCGCAAAACGATAATTCCTGCAAGAAACCAGGCAATCTTGCATCCGAGCACGCGATACCTAGCCTAACTTTGCTATTATATACTCTCATACCCTTAGACGCGCATGAAGTACAATTCTGATAAATAGAAATTAAATAAAAACGCCTGGAATACGTATTCTTGTAGTAGAAAAACATTTTTTATTTTCTTTTAAAAGACGGTAGAACTTACTCTGGTTATGAAATAAAATTAATTATGAAAATTGTACATACATTAACACGATCGATAAAATATTCGCGCAGTTTTCAAAGTTATTCACAAAAACTTATGAAGGAGAGAAAAATTCGACAGAAAAACTTTCGCGCCCCATCTTTTTTAAATATTGAATTAATCTTTTCGATAATAGATTATAAACGACTGTTCGCGTTAAAAGTAAAAAATATATCCTACGATATCCTGGGTAAAGAATATTAGTGAAACCCTTATTGCTTATAATTTTCATATATAGCCATTCAAAATTCATATTTTTTATAGACTTTCTATAATACAAAGGCGTTTATTGTAATTTTTTTTTTTTTTTCATTACAGATGGGCCCGTTTCCGCAAGGGATTTTGTCCCTGTTAATTCTAACGGCAGTAACAGGAATTTATGGAGCACCAGGTATTATATTATTGATTTTATTGTATTTCATGAAGATACACCAGAACGTTACTCAGAATAAGTATGGATCATTAATTTTCTATGTAATTTCGATATTTCAGCTAGGATTGCCTTTGAAAAATTAACCGATTTTGACTATCGCGGCACAACGTACTACAGCGTGCGCAACCTGTCTCTGTACGAGTGTCAAGGATGGTGTCGAGAGGAAAACGAGTGCCAAGCAGCAGCATTCTCCTTCGTAGTGAATCCACTGGCACCAATGCAAGACACTTTGTGTCAACTGCAAAATGAAACAGCAGCAACGAATCCAGCTGCGCAGCCTCAGAGAGCCGCGAATATGTACTACATGACCAAACTGCAATTACGATCAGGTAAACAGAAAATCGTACGATAATCAAGTATGCATAAGAGCGATAACGCATGAAAGTGCATTGGATATTCTGAATTTCAAGCGCACTATGCACAGTGGCGTCTATCAGAATATTTAAATTTTTACTCAGCCCTACTCATTAACACTGGACATGATTTATAAGCTGAGACGTTGTTTCCCAGAGGTGTTGTAAAACCTAGTAGGCTGAAACATTACAGTCAGGTAAAATTGTGACATTTCATCCCAGCCTGAAATATGAATGCACGAACACCAGAAAAAGGAAACCTAACCTAACAGGCCGCTTCGTGTTTGCTTGACCGCCATGATACAATAGAATGCTGGTGGGACCTAGCACCTTCTACAGTAAATGCATTAAGTGTGTCAGGTATTCGAGCAGGTATCCCTGCAGGGCTCATAGCGACCCCTAATATTGGTTTAACAAGTCTGCTGGTAGATATAGCACGGTACGACCCACTGAAAATCGCCTAAGACCCTGACTTCTTCTATCTCCCAGAGGTAGCTCCAGGATTCTGGTTGGGAACTGGTGGTCGTAAGAAACCTTAGCAACCCCTTTTTTTTTAATCACAAACCGGTCGTCATAAAACGTCACAGGAAATTGTCGTGTACTTTGCGCTTCATCAACGAGTCATGAAAGTTTGTAATATATTTATTACAAGTTATTATTATTTCTTACAGAAAATGTCTGCCTACGACCTTGGTCTTTCGAGAGGATTCCGAACAAGATGATTCGCGGGCTGGACAATGCACTTATCTACACGTCCACCAAAGAAGCGTGTCTGGCTGCATGTCTAAATGAACATCGATTCACCTGCAGGTCCTTGGAATACAATTACGTTACATTGCAATGTCACCTGAGTGATTCCGATAGAAGGACGACTGGTCAATACGTTCAATTCGTGGACGCGCAGGGTGTCGATTACTTTGAGAATCTGTGCCTAAAAGGTGATAAGGAACTGTCATAATCACGTATGAAGATCCCGTTACGAGGATTCGTTCGAATATCATTTTCGTTTACTTGCATGTTTTCAGGAAAGGAAGCGTGCAAATCCCAGCGTATATATCAAATACCAAGGATAGGAGTGGCCGATGATAAAGTTGCTCAATACGCAGGACTCCATTATTACACAGATAAAGAATTACAAGTGCAAAGTGAATCAGCCTGCAGATTAGCTTGCGAAATTGAAAATGAATTCTTGTGTCGTTCATTCCTATACCGTGGCGCACCTCAGGGCAGTGCATTCAATTGTCATTTATTCCATCTCGATCACTGGACACTTCCCGACGGACCATCGACCTACCTCAATGCTGAAAGACCATTGATCGATAATGGAGAACGCGTGGGAACTTACTTCGAGAACTTCTGCGAGAGTACGTACACGTTTATAGGAACAGACAGCGTAGTATATGGAAAAATAGTAAAGTCAAATTAGTCCATATCTAATTGCCATTTTTATAGAAGGTCCAGGACCCATCGGTGATCCACTTCCGGTTGTCTTCGATGCCACTGAAGATCCCACCGTGAACAACCTCACCAGAACCGATGTGAATTGCGACAAAACAGGAACCTGCTATGACGGTAAGACGTCGGCATAGGTACACTTCGGTTTACGACACCTAATACAATAGAACCAGAAAGTACCTATTACAGTCCTTGGGTTAATGGTAGTACTGGGAAGTCTGGGGAATACTTATTGTAAATTGCAAGAAAGAAAAAAAAAAAAAGAATTTCCTTAGGATTACCAAGGGCAGAAGGTTATAATCTTTTCACAGCTGGATGAATTCCCTTTCAGAGAATAATTAGACTTTCAACACCTTGTCTACCGATAGGTACTACCCTTTTTCAGGTACCACAATGTTTCCCAGTATTTGAATTAACAAAATGTTCTTGTCTCATCCATTTAGTTTCTGTCGACTGTAAGGATACTCGCATTGCCATCCAGGTACGAACCAACAAGCCGTTCAATGGGCGAATCTACGCCTTAGGTAGATCCGAGACCTGTAACATCGACGTGATTAACAGTGATCTATTTAGACTGGACCTAACTATGAGCGGCCAGGATTGTAACACTCAGAGTGTGGTGAGTGTATGAATATCTTTGATCTAGAAAACGATTCCTTCCTAACCAACAGCATAGCTTCCGGTTTCCAAATATATGTGTTCACCGGCAGCGTGATGGTTTTCAGACTGGAATCTATTCGAACACCGTGGTCCTGCAGCATCACTCGGTAGTGATGACCAAGGCTGACAAGATCTACAAGGTCAAATGTACTTACGATATGTCATCGAAGAATATTACTTTCGGAATGATGCCTATTCGTGATCCAGAGATGATCAGTATCACCAGTGCACCGGAAGCACCGCCACCAAGGATCCGTATCCTCGACAGCAGATCCCGGGAGGTTGAGACTGTGCGAATTGGAGATAAACTCACGTTCAGAATTGAAATTCCCGAGGACAGTAAGTGAAATGAAATATATTAATTCGCAAGAAAGAAATTCTATTTAGGATTTCACTACTGCGGGGTTTCGACGAGGAGACGAGAAATTAATTTTTTCTTTACTTTCTACAGCACCTTATGGTATTTTCGCCAGAAGCTGCGTGGCCATGGCTAAGGACTCGAAGAGTACTTTCCAGATAATAGATGACGAGGGGTGTGTATTTTACGTAAAACTATATTTCTTCAAAAAATTAATATAATTATTTACATTTGATAAATCAATCCTTTCACAGATGTCCTGTCGATCCTTCCATCTTCCCAAGCTTCACACCCGATGGCAATGCATTGCAGTCTGTATACGAAGCATTCAGATTCACCGAATCTTATGGAGTTATTTTCCAATGTAACGTCAAGTATTGTCTCGGACCTTGTGAACCGGTAAGTTAACTGTTTTCTCTTTTAGGTTAAAAGGTTAATAGGAACGGAACATTTAGCAAGATCTTCATTGTTATATTTTTTTAGGCTGTTTGCGAATGGGGTCGTGAGTCTGTAGAATCCTGGGGTAAAAGACGTAGAAGAAACGTGGTGAACTCTACCGAAGAGAAAGCCGAGGATATGACACTGTCACAGGAAATTCTCGTCCTAGACTTTGGCGATGAGAAACAATCTGAATTCTTCAAGAATGATGGCAGCATAGATTTTAATGAGCCTGGTACGTGACAATATAATATTTCTGCCGTTCTTTTATAATTTATTTATATTTCTACTTGTCGATTTTTTTTTACAGATAAAACCGTGACCATCGTAGAACCATGTCCAACCAAGACATCGGTTCTTGCCTTAGGCGTAACATGCGCCCTTCTCGTTCTTATTTACATCTCCACGATTTTCTGCTATTACATGAAAAAATGGCTGACACCGCGCAAGATGATGCCCTGATGAGAGGAACCTCCGAAGGATTTGCCAGACGCGTGATAATTGTATGCTAATAATGTCTTTCTAAAAAGACGAAAACAATTATGAGGGCACCGCATCATTTACACCGTCGATCGATCGATTCGTCTATTATTTTTATAAAAATTCTTTCTCGGGAATATTTTTTATTTTTATTCATTCAAAGGAGTCGCACGCATCTTCATCGTTCTATCATCTAAAGTTTTATCGCGACCATTCCTCGTGCAGAAAATAATTAGGAAAAAAGTACGAAAATTATTTTTTTTTTAATTTATAATCTTTATTGCGATTGTCCGATAGTCTGTTTGAGCATTCCATAAATTGTTCCTGATTAAGGCGGATCGATCAGTCGAGATCATTAGACTCTCTGAAACTGTCATTACTCACAGCTACTTCTGATCGGGTTTCAAGGAGCCCTGACTCTTCCATTAGGAAAGTGAATCTCTTTCGTTTTACTTTTTCCCTGGCTCTCTCCTAACCCGTATCAAGACTAGCGATATTTAAAGGTACGCGCTTGACTAACGTCTCTAATGTTCGTAGTGTTAAATCTAGCTGTTTAAGGTTCTTTTAGGATATGGTCATGTAAGGACCACTCATAACGTCCCTGGGGATAATAGCGTGAGAAATGATGACATGTGAAAAGAATGCGAATCGAATTCCTAGATATTGGGGTTTTTAATCTCCGAGGATTGATTTTTAAGCGTGGTCCATAGTCCCGTTTAGCTTAAGACAATTATAATCTCCAGTTAATCAGGTATATCCATTGAATTTAGGCATCGAAGCCGATTTTTATATGAGAAAAATATGAGGAAGGAACGTAAATAGAAAGAGTACTTTGTCTCGAATGTTGCGCAGGAGAATGTTAAACTTATTAAAAAATACAAATGTATATAAATGAACGATTTTTTTAAAGCCCAATTTGGCACTCGTAATGCATATCGATATCGCTTGTATCTCTATTCTATTTATACACGTGATCAATTCTGATTAAACAAGATTTTGGAAAATTATGGTTTTTCTTTTATTCAAGCTTGTCTTTCCCTCTGTACTAAAACGATACCACAACGGTTGACAGTTATATTCTCCATAAATATACACATATTACTAAGTACTTTATCAAATTAATAATGATAACTCCAAAAAAATCTTCCTATCTAAATTGATTAAGAACCATATGATATGTATTTTACGACATTTAAGGTATATACGTTATACGTTCAATAAATTAAATACTTCATAATATCAAAAATGTGTAAGCGACGAATCTTCCTTCGTCATTACAAGGAATTGAAAAAAGCGAATAAGATTTTACAAACATTATTTTTGACAAATATTCTCCAAAATGCATGTAACTGCTGCGTGAAAATATGTTTCTCATTTTTATCTTTACTTAGATACATCATTTAGGACAAATTTAAATATAAATTACAATCAATTTTTTAATAGCCATTATGATATTCCATTATCAAATTAGATACAGTACCAACAACCAATAAATATATAGGTGTACTATAATTTGGTTCTAATTCTATAAAATTTATACGAAATGAGGCACCTAAAATATACCATTAAAATACTCTGAACGATAGCTGTTTAGTATATTTGTCAGACAAAATTGTTAAGGCGATAAATTTTGGAACTCAATATATTTACGTATAGAGATGTAAAAAGCCAAGTTATCATTTGAATAACAAGATATTTATACAGTGAAGTAGCCATAGCTATTTATATTACTTAACCACAGCGGTCTACACGTATGTCTTTATCAAAATAAATCGAAATAATACTTATTTGCACGTAAAAGTTTAATTATTAAAAAAAATCAAACTATCATTACTTATGTAACATATTGTTCAACTCATTATTTTATTATTCGATCTTTATTAAGCCGTGAGCTTTAAATACAATTTCTAGCGGAGTGCCATAAGCCGCCATTAAAAAAAACCAGCTGACTAATTTACCGACTAAAATGATAAAAATAATTCGGTCATTCTACATATCTACTTACATAAGCACATGTTATTTACAAAAGAATCAAAGTTCAGAAAGTGGCCGCCGCTTGAACCGTATTGAATTCTCATGCATCACTCCGTGGATAAGCCAGTCCAAAGAGATACAACAGAACTCTACTATACCCAATCGATTTTTAGAAGGAGTCGCGGTAACGTAAACGCACAAATCCAATATGTATACCCATAAGCATAAAATGGCGTATTTCCTACCAGTAGAGTAAGAAGCGTGTTAAAACATTCTGCTCAAAATCATCATCAAACCAACAAAATCGATAGCAAGCATAGAGCTAAGTGTCACGCTCTTCTCCACCCGATAAGATAATAAGGTAGGTCGTGTGGGCGTGAGTGATTACCAGTAAAAAGAATCCGATAGAATCCTGCACTCCACTTCTAGCGTGACAATTCCACGCGAGGTTATAAACTCTAGCGAAGCACATCAGAGCACCAGTAAGCGCCACCACTTCGGCACATAGAATAGAAAATAATATAAATTAAAGTAGATCTCAAAAAGCCTGTGTCCTCATTTAAGATAAAGAGAAAGAAAGAAAAATAGCATTAAATTCCGGGCTATATCAAGTAGCAATGATTACAAAAAAGAACATTAAGAAAGTGTTTAACGACATTTATTCTGGCGCCTGGCCTATCGTCGTATATCTATCCTAGCCATGGCGCTAGTATAGCCAAGATCATTCTGGTCTCTGGTGGAGTCTGGGAAACGGCCTTTACCATTACGTATCGTGCCAACAAGAATCGTACTGTACGTATATAGATACTATGAAGGTGTATACGAGAGTGTATAGGTGGGAGAGGTTGCACGTGTGCTCTCTAGGCAGTTGGGCACGTAAATAAACTCGAGCCAGTGTGGCAAGATGGAAACCGGTAGAGAGGTTACGATTCTTCATATATCTACAGGAGGTGCAATAGTTTCGCGGACTCAATTTCCAATTATCTGACTTGCAAGCGCTGGACATGATTCGATGCTGTAAATAGACATTTTTTTTTAGTATTGAGCGGATAAGGAGACGCAAATGCACACGTGTCTCCTCAAGTATCTCTGCCGGAAGCGATTTACCGGAAGTTTTGGTCATATGAGGGCTGGAGGGAATAAATGATTGGTAAAAAAAGTCTACGTGCTTTCCGGGAGGATACGATGACGTAATCATTGTTAAATTCTCTTTGATTTATCTGGAACTGATTTTTAATATATGCCTTATTTTTCTTTTATTGTTTTCCTCTTAAACTAAATTAATTTTGTAACTCAATCTTCTCGGTCAACTTCGTCGCGGCTTTATAACGTCTTTGTCTACTCATAAATACATGGCCAATCGGACTTACTAAATCTCGAGGGATCTCATCGTCGCCCACGAGAAGTAAGTCTGATAAGACAAATCATGGGTACTAAAAGTAGTGTATCATTTCCTAGACTCGGATGATTACACGTAACACTACATATATACGTGCTAATGATAATGTTCCAAATAAAAGTTTATATAGTTTTTGTGGGGTTTAACAATGCAATATAAAAGGCAAAGTTGAGTATATCCAAGAGACTTGAGAAAAAGCAGAAGAAGAACAACCATAGGAACAGAGTATATAATGTGCTGTAGATAATGGAAGGTAGGTAAAGGATAGAGCCGAGGTAGATCATTTGGGCGCCGAGAAGTCTGGCACGACGGCACTCGATGCCGGGGAGTCTGGTTACGCAGCCATTTGGGGCGCCGTCGTGTGGTGGTGTAGTTGGAGATCGAGTGAGAAAAAGAATCTTACAAGTTTGCGTGTATAGAGAAAGAGTGAGAGAGAGGGAGGGAAGAAGAAGAAGAAGAATGACGGGTGGCCTGAAGAAGTGAGAAATAGCGAGGTGTCTCAGCAGGAGTGCAAGAAAGAAGAGAATGGTCGAGAAGGCATCGGAATCCCAATAGAAGGTAGAGGCTCGCTCCATAGAGTCACGTATAAGCCTAGGACTAGTCCCGGTAGAAGGCATGGCTGGTGAGCAGCGTGACGGGGAGTCAGGAGGGTACGGACTCTCCTCGAAGCTGATCCACCTAGCCATTCTCGTCATGAGTCCCCTGCGGTCCCCTCGGGCCACATTCCAGCGGCCACGGCAGTTTTCAAACATGGCTCCCCAGGCTGAATGTAGGTCCTCGACCGATCCTACGATATAACCCCTCTTAAACCGATTCTCTTTCTCTCTACGTCGTTCAGCAGCTCCCCTTCTGCTCACTTGGTGGCACCATGCAAGAACCAGCAGGCCCCTAGCCACTCATCCAGTCTCCATGGGCCCTCTCAGAAACCCCCCAGCCCGTCCCATCGCTCCGTGCCCACTCATCATTCCGTCGCCGTATTCCCTCTTTCTTACTCCTTTGCCGTTCACTCTCCTTTCTCTTTCACCTCTCTCTCTCTCACTCTCTCTCTTGCTCTCTCTTCTCTCTCCCTCTCTCTCGCTCTCTCGGTCACTACTTGCCACTCCTCGAGGTACACCAACATACGAAGCTATACGGCCTGGCCGACCCGAGCTGGCGACACCCTGTCTGGCAAGACCGGCCGCCACGGCGGACAAAGGAGGGGACGCGCTGTTGCCATATACTCGGGACACCAGTGCTCCGCGTCTACCTTCGGACCCAAGGACAAATCCGATCGTGCCAGCCGTTCTGGCGCGGCGAACACCCAATCGCTTCAGAGGCTGACTATACAGAAACTTTAATTCTCGCTACGGAGTCTGGATTCTCTGGAGTTTTAAAAATGAAAGCCCTGTGTATTTTATTTAAACAATATAAGTATTACGTTTAAAGTAATATTATATGGCAACGATCAGAGATAAGATTATAGACTACTAAATGAGCCGCCCAGTTTACATGTTTAGGTTCGCATGTTAGGTTAGCATTACACCAGGTCAGTTTAACCAGTGTAAACGTACCGAATTCAGTAAAGATTTGGAAATTACGTGTCTGCTCTTCATTATTGGAAATAATAAACGCTGCTGTAAGAATTTTACTACACGGTGCATGACTGCATCACTCCTATGTTTGTATGCTGATAATTACCGTTTCTCGGGATGCGAGTTACGAGATTATCGAACGACTCTTGGAAGGGGGCCCCGCTCTGGTGCATTGGTGTTGGTCTGTTTTTCTCATTTTTTTCTCATTTGTATTCTCGGCCTCCGATCTAATCATCGCGGAAAGTTGATGCTGTGTTTGCGCCTCTCTTTATCCGACATCCTCTCCCCATAGATATACATACACTACTTATGCTTCTTCGGACAGACTGTACGTAAATCGAGATACTACTTGAAAATACTTAAACCGACAGGAAGGAAACTAACCTCTTACCCGATGGAAATATTCTTAAATTCTTTAACGATGACTCGCAGCACGCCGTCTTGGTTCTCGTTCCACGTATGAACGTGCAATGTATACGCCTTTGAGAAAATGAAAGGATTCATCGTTGGCAGCCATGATTCTACTATAATGCACATTTCATTTTTATTCCACCATACCTTCGTCAAATACAACTTTAAAATAGCACATTTCTTCATATAAAAGATTTATTATTCTTTAAAGAATTATTTACGAAATTCTGTATAGCGGAACGAGGATGGTAAAACGGAGGTATAGCGATTCCGGTGTATTTCTTAGAATGGACCGAAGGGCCCGAGGCCCCCAAGGAGGCCCAATATACGCGAATCATGGAAGTTTACGAGGCCGAGCTATATGCCACTCTTTGTCGGTTTGCCGCGACTTGCGTCATGTCTTTTCGTCCTATCTTATTGCACAAGTGTACGACAGTACGTGTGTCATATCACCTTGTATAAGTATGCATATGTATTATTATGTACGCGTGATAGTAGCCAAGAGCCAGGCTGCGTGTGCGTAAACGCGTGGTGCTGCCTACGTGCAGAGACGTGGCAACGGCGCCAAAGCTAAACATATTAACTGTCGGCTCACTCCACAAAAACAACATGATCTCATTCTGCGGCGCGTATGAGAAACTCGCCCCGGCGAATACCCGTGTAAGCCAGCCATATCGAAATCTCATTCAAAATCGCCAGCGCACCGGCAGCGAAACATAGTCTCCTTGTGAGCCATTCTTGGATCAACGGCGTGAGAGAGAAAGAGAGAGAGAGAGAGAGTAAAAGAAAGATTCTGAAATCCTCAAGTTAATGATTATGGTTAACGGTAATCGTTGGGTGTTCACGATATAAAGTGACTGGACTCCCAGGGAGTGGCTACTCTGGATTGTTTCTATGAAGAGAAGTCAGAATCAAATTCAATTTTTTTAGTCAAAGAAATCATAGATTTTGAATGAGATGCTAATGATTTATCACGATTTCACCGTGTAAAATTATGTGGAAATATTAACGTGAGTGAAGAAAATATTATGGATTATTATCAAACATCGATGTGAATTTTTTAAATTAACAATCTAAAGAATTCAAAGAAATATATGGTGATCCGTGTAAAATAACTGTCGGCCCTAGGTAAGGAGAGAAAGGACGCGTGTTAAAAATGAAGCCTGTCGTATGGACGAGAGAGCCGTTCAAAGAGACGATCGTGGCAGACAACATGGCGCCGCGCGAAGCGTCGTCGGGGCGTCGTGACGTTTCCCGCGCGCGTCATTAACGGAAGTGAGGCCACAAAATGGCGGAGTTTTATGTAGCTGAAGTGTGAAAGAGGCGTTGGAGAGAAGACGAGGGCGCCTACACGCCAGCGGTGTAGAGGAGCTTTCCTAAGAGAGACAAAATATGTGTAGTCGAATGTCTGCAAGCGAGATGAACGCTTCGAGTGCCGATCATTGTGTTGGCTTGTGCCAGGGCTAGAGCGGGGATACTCTATAAGAAAAATAGGATGACTGGTGGCTGTCGGTAGTCCGTAATGTGTAAAAGTGGGGACTATTGAAGCTTATGGTATAATGAAAAAGTGGGGTGAACAAATCAGGAGAAGGTATCACGTGGTGAGGGAACATGAATTTGAGAGTGGGGATGGCCAGTATCTAAAGTCTGTTATATTACTTGAATTTCTTGGTATGTGTTTGTCCATGGAGGGGAGAATACAGCTCATAGGTCGAAAAGTGGGGGAAAGAGCAGAGCAGACTTTTCAGGGGGAGACGTTTTGTGGTGGGGATGAAAATTAGTTACGGCATCCAGCAAGACCTAAAAGGAACTCCGTGCGTCGCGCGGCCAGGCCACTCCGTGCAATGTTACGCGTTAAGGTATGCTTGTGGTGTGTTCAGAGTGCCGGTTTACCTTACTCACGATAATTTGAGGTTAAGAACAAAGGAGGACACTTAGTTGACATTTGTTAGGATTTTGTGAATTGTTTTGGCCTTGTTTTTCAAAGGTTCTATTTTTTCTTTGCTCACGGTGGTATTCTATAATGCTGACAAGTGGGATAGTGTGATCGCGTGATCTCAGACAGTGTCCATGAGGATTATCGGAAGTACCGATTAACTCCAACGACTATCATTCTCCAAGAGAGTACACTAGCTTGTGATAATGGCGCACGGTGTCAGCGAAGTTCTGGCTGAGAGTAATTCTACTACCAGGATGACCACCAGCAAACATAACCAAGCTCAAAACGTTCGGAAAACAGTTGGCGTGATGGGCAGCAGACGTATATTCGCACCTGCTTTTAAGTTGAAGGTACTGGATTCCTATAGGAACGATATAGATTGTCGTGGCAATCAGCGTGCTACTGCCAGAAAGTATGGCATACATAGGCGCCAGATACAAAAGTGGTTGCAGTGCGAGGATAATCTGCGTAGTAGTTGCGCAGAGATGGTAACGTCATCATCGCCGGTGAGTTCAAATTCATCGTCCTCGTCCTCATCATCGTCGTCAGCCTCATCGACGACGCTGGGAAGCCCCGCAATAACCGAGGGCGCCCCGACGGCTGATGCGGGAAGCGTGGCTCCTTTAGCGCCGGCCTTGAACCTCAGTCTCGCCAGACTGCACGGCGACGATGTGCCTCCGGGGCCCCTAGCCACTCCACCCTCACCACACTATCCGCAGACCAGCACTTCAGGATATCATCAAGAGTACATTAATCAGGATCAGCATGGCCAGGATATTACCTACCGTAGTGATGAAGCAGACAAGTATTATGCTATGGACGGTTATGATGCCAAGGTATGCCAGAGTGCACAGGGATACGCGATGAATCAATCTAATCATCAAAATCATAAAGATCATCAAGAGACACACCCAAGTGAACATAGTCATCACCATCAGTATCGAGATTCTCATGGAAGCGTACTACTGGCCCGGACGATAAAGTCGGAACGTGCAAGCAGCCCAGACTCGGTGGCGACAACAGGGCCGTACGAGGCGCTGGGGCCGCCCTGCGGTCCCCTAGGGGCCGTACCGTGCCCTCATCAAGAGAACACCAGCACCAGGGGAGCTACGGCTACTCCACCACCTACATGCATAGTAGCGTCGCCACCTGGTAGTGTCCATTCGCCAGGACACGCGTGTCCCATGAATTCTCAGAAGCCGAGTACATTCGAGCCCGAGGAAGCTGGAGGGCTTAGCAGTGCCTATGGGCCACCTGGGCATGTATCCTGTTCCAGGATTTACCCAGGTCCTGGTAGTCCCCAAGGGCCCCATTCCAGTCCTCCAAGCCCTCAGGGCTCGGCAAGATCAAGCACCAGCTCTGACAGCGAATTGGACCCTCTCGATTTTTCAAATCAGAAGCAATCGGCTGACCTCGCTAGGAGAAGGTCCTTCTCCTTGAGATTCAAACTTGATGTCCTCGACGCATTTCATCGGGACGTCGGCGTTGCTGGTAATCAACGCGCTACTGCCAGAAAGTTTGGAATTAATCGTCGTCAGGTACAAAAGTGGCTCAGTCAGGAGACTGAACTCAGGGGTGAAATTGCCCTGAGAGGCGGTACATCGAGACAGAGACTTGGACCTAGTCAGGATGTTGGAGAAGTACCAGTTGATTTGAGAATCCATTGTTCTATGCCAGAGAGTCCGACACCATATTGCTGCGAACTGAGTGTACCAAGGACTGGCTACTATACTGGGAACATTGTGGAATCTCCTGAGGTGTCATACAGGACATGTATATTATCATGCTGCACGGAAGGTACCACTGAAACATGTTATCAGGAGATGAGCATAACGAGACCCTGTTATACATCACCGCAGAGGATATACTGTTACTCTCCAAGAGAATCTGTAGAAATAGGTATTCTCCAGGAAAACACAGAGCCAGTTTTATCCTCTCCGTTGAAAAGGTCTTGTACTCTATCTTGTTGCTATGAACCATCATCTCCTAAGAAGATCTGCCTAGACTCTGATGATCCTCCTCAGGACGTACCGTTGTGCTTAGTAAAACCTAAAAGAATCTGCGATCTAGAGCTGGTGACTAGTACAGTACCCACGCCTCCGACACCAACACCAGCAGCTAAAAAAGACGCCATCCTCTTCAAACCTTACCTGGACAACCCAGTAAGCAAGCCCATTGATGACGACGGCCAAATATCCCCAGTGCCGAATAATAACAACAACTGCCAAGGTATCTGCAATCTGAATGAAAATCGTGGTCATGACTACGCTCTGGAATTGAGTCTCAGGGTTCCGGTATCCTGGAGAACAGTGCAAACTCCATACACGGATTATCCCCAGGTTAGAAGTGCCTTCGTGAGGTATCCAACGAGTCCCCATTACACCTAGTGCGATTTCACTTCTTTATCGAGGTCCGGAGACGATAACCAAAAATCCAAAAATGGTACAATACAGTATAACACAAAATAACATTACACCAACATATCCCACTAACAAAAACACATACATACTTGTAAAATCTAATAACCGTTTTCACTTAGAAAAATTGAAGTTCATAATCATGAACCATAAAGTTGAAGATTCTGATTAGTTAACTCAATTCATCACGTTGAACCAATCAAAACTTTACATCCATACGGTTACGACCATTCGTTCTTCGTACAATAGCTTTAACAAGAAATGTATTCTAAAACGGTGTAAGATTAGGTTAGTCTTTCTAATTAACGTAAGGTGAAAAGGAGATACGTGAGGCCCGACACGTTAGACATGCTTATCCATCCGATCGATGAATCCACTGATAAGGTTACAATCATCGGCTAAGATAAGCTAGGAAGACGCCTTACAGTACAGACGTCTTAACGGATAAAGAATTGACTCGTCCACCTTTTTAAGCGTCGTTCAGGCTTCCTTCTATTTTTTTTATCAACACACATCGGAGTCATGGAGATTAAAAAATGTCTTATCGACGAGGCCGTTTAGAGGTCGTCGTCGTGTGCCGCTATACTCATGCGCGCTTCTATTATTATGAAATTGCGTGAGCAAATGACTGGACACGTGACGTCACGCGATAAATTGTTAAGAGCTTCGTTTCTTTTTATAATCACTAGAGTCGTTGGCTTCTTGCCTGATGTATTTTGCCAATTTGACGAAATCATCGTACGATTTGGTAATTGAAAAGGGACGTTCGACGAACCGGTGTAACTAACAACGAGAGAAAGGAGAGAAATTATATAATACCGAGGAGAATTATATCGGTATCAAAGTATGGATGGGAATGTAATCGATTTGCTCAAAGAATTGCTTCCACATACAGCATATTGTATGTCTCTTAGATAGGTCTTGGCAATTAACATTGCCCTAACGTATCTCTCCGTTTTATATTCATTATCTATTTTCTTCTTTAATTTTTCTTGCGTGCCTCAGATCTCGCGTAGTATTCTATCTTTTCGTATCAAATTTCTTAATTCTTCTACTAGCGTCAGTTTTTTTTTTTATTTTCATTTAAATCCCGTAGTTTTTTCCGGGGCGTTTCGTTCTCCTGCAAGGTTTCGTAAATCATTGATTAATATTGTTGTAAATATGTCTATATGTATACATAAAGCGCGAGAGAGACTAGCAAAACCAATAGAAAGAACTGGAAACGGACCTGTGCGTATACAAATCAACGTATCTTTGTCTATAATGTATTCTATGGTCGAATCCGAAGATCAATCCAATGGATTGCGTGTTAAAGAATGAATTCTGTTTCTAGGAAGAATTGGAGGTACACGATGATTTGTGCAAAACAATAATACGTGACACCTTGCGGACCAAAAAGCAAGGAAACAGATACTAAGTAGGAACAAACTGACAATCATAATTAATAAGTAATTCAATATGGAGCTGTGTACGTGCCTTTCCAATTGTCTTCTTGGTGGAGAGCCAAGAAAGGAAAAATTTTGTACGACCATTCGGAAACATAAATATCCAAAATGCAGATGCGTAAGCAGAACGTTCTTTTTTTTTAATTATTGGAGAGATCAGGATTTACAAAACGCGTCTCGCATCCGAGAATTATACATAGGAAAAAGTAAAAGAGGAGTGTCGACAAGAGTAAATTAAAGGTGCCTTACTCAATTACAAGACTTTAGTCTAAACAGATCTTTATTGAAGCGGATATTCTCATATCTTGCAATTGGATCAAACAGATTGAGTGTAAAAGATTAGATTTTATATATTGAAAAAAAAAAACGATGCCAACGCACGAAGTTCGCGTGCCAATCCGATGCGAAGGAATAAACCCGTGTACAATGAATAACGATGACTTTTACACCGTAAGCCATAATAGTTACATAATGCCATAACGTTTAACATAATATGGCGCATCCAACGCCAATCACCGAAGCATAAAGTAAATGACGAGCGATATATTTATATATACATATTTTAATGTGCACACATCATTTATATATCATTTTCTGTTCATTATCATTTCGTCGACTTCTTCGTGAGATTTTTGATCGTTTGCGCGTACGCGGTGCCGTGGCACGAAGTCACGTTGAAAACTGCGACATATTAAAATTTGTTAATAACGGAATCTCCGTCTTCAACTCGCCGTCTTAGCGAATAAGATAAATCATGTACATTTTCGGGAAGGAAGAGTATCCCGCGGGATGTGACTATTTATAAAAATTATATTTTAATATACTGTCTTTACAAGTGGCGCGATAAGTGGATATTGAAGTTTTTGAGGATACTATACAGAATTGTAATTGCGTACATAGTAATTCTTGCAAGGCTATGGAAATATTGTGCCTTTAGTCTCGTGGGTATTTTGAAGAATTTTTTTTGATAGCGACTGAAAAAACTGTGAAATTGGATGAACGTCGACAAAAGAATAATAACAGCGGAAAAGGAGAAATGATATCTCGTTTAAGACCGGCAGCTCAATTGTGTGATAATATTAAGGTGTATGAGGAGGTGTCATTTTTCTTTAGAGAATGAAAGAGAGAGAGAGAGAGAGAGAGAGAATGCGTTGGTATGCAAACAAGCGAGAATGTTGTACAAAGGACGAATTAACCTTATTACGAATTATCTTCTTCTTTAATGCGCAGAGTAGGCAAGAATGCGTTGGTATGCAAACAAGCGAGAGCTCAATTGTGTGATAATATTAAGGTGTATGAGGAGGTGTCATTTTTCTTTAGAGAATGAAAGAGAGAGAGAGAGAGAGAGAGAGAGAGAATGCGTTGGTATGCAAACAAGCGAGAATGTTGTACAAAGGACGAATTAACCTTATTACGAATTATCTTCTTCTTTAATGCGCAGAGTAGGCAACGCGAGACGAATTAATTGTATTATTACTGTATTATATACACGATAAGAGTAGATATATATTATATATTATAAATAGATAGAGATATATATTATATAACGATGCCTAGGAATTTACCGAATTTGAGAGACAAAAATATAAGAGATTATTTTAACGAAAGCAAACGTTCTTTTTATTTGTGTTTCTTGTACCCACAATTCGTATTTCACCTTTCACCTACCTATAATTACTCACAAGCCTACGGCGATCATCTTGTCCTTCCCCTCCTACGAGGCTTGAATTACGAATTTTCCACGTATACCTTCTATTATTGTCCTGGGCCCTCATCAATCATCCTAAAACCATCTCATGATGTAAGTCATCAAATGACAAAAAAAGATATATCATTCACCCAGGTAAAAAAAGAATTCTCGCACGTCAAAAGAATTTTAGTTTTGCTTAAGTTGTCTAGAGAAAAACCTGATTCTGGTGTTAATATGTTCATCTGTAAGCATATAAAAAAAAAATTAAAGTACATGACAACAGATCTGACGGACGAAGGAATTAGGTGTAAAATGGTTGATATCGGGTGCTGCGTGTTTGCATTCTGATATTTGGGATCTCGGGTCGCGAAACAGCTGGCTCAAAGATTGGACCTCGTAAGCCTTCTACACAAGCATCGAACGGATACGGGCGCAAGAAACCAACGCAGTTCAGCATTTACGTCTGTGCAGCGTAGAATTATCGCGTTCATAAGCAGCGTTCACTACCTACATACGCGTTTTACGCCTACGTTTACGAGGCGCGTAAGAACTGCTCGTTATTCTGACCAAAATACCATGATTGTTTAGTATGCATGGGATACAGAAGTAGGCGCGTTTGGGCCTTATCGGGCGCATGCACGATTTAACGATGAATTTCAATTCGAAACCAATTTTGCACCTGTACACTGTGCCACTCGAATTATGGAATCTTTTATTTGGATCAGTATAAGAATGACAGCTGAGAGAGACACGGCTAGTTTTTTTAAAGATGCATCATTATCTTGTCGGTACTACAGCTTTCGCAGTTATCGGCGGTTTTTGTATCCATTGGGATATAGGAGGATTTTGTCATACGTAGTTCGAAAATTTGACATTGGGCGGAGTGTTAACACGATCCGAAGTTTTGTGAAACAAAAAATTTTTATGGATGTTGGTAATCGAATCGTCGATATTCAGAGGGATAATATTATTACTTCATGTAGTGATTTAATAATTTATGAAATCTGTTTATTTGCCATAAATTATGCATCCTTTCTGACTGACGAGTCAATTAACTTTTACAGTTTTAATTTTCCATGGTAATTTCAATTTTTTAATTTTACTTTTAGATATTAGTGCACCACTAGAAGAAAAATTGTATTATTACGTCTTAGATGGAAATTGACGGTATTTTTTGCAAATTACTTTCCGATACCTAGTCATTTCGAGACAGTCGATATAATTAAGCAACGTAAAATTCATAAGGGGTTCCAAAACGTTACTCGAAGTAAATTTAGCAGAGCGTTTTTTTTTTTCATAAAAGGTAAAACTTCATCAGAGAATAGATTACACTGTACTTACCAGTGAAAATTCGGAGTCAGTCTCACAGGCGTTAGTACATAGTTAATCGTCGACCATGCGGTACCGTCATCTAGCGTTTAATCTATGTATTATAAATATATCAAAAAATATAACTGACTTATACTGTTTTTTATTACCCGAAGGTGTCGTCTGGTAAGTGTGCGAGTGGTATATTTTTTTATACAGTCATCGGACATGATGTGCGGATTAACATTTTATACTCAATACAAAATATGTCTGCTAATCAAAAGAGTTATTAATTCATATCCAGAGGCAACGTTTTTTATATTGCATTGTAATAGACAAGTTTAGAATTTTTATAATACAATAAATTATTTTTATTTAAAAAAGTAAGTCAAATTAGCCTATAAACAATCCCAGCATTCGGTAACATCGGATCCTATTCGCTGCATGGGTATTGTTGGAGGGTTGCCTGCTCGAGTGGTGAATTTCGAAATTTCGACGCACTCAGTCTGGCTACAACGAATCCAACATTTTTTCAGAGAGCAATTTAAATAAGTATTTCTACACTTTTTTCAAATGTTCTGCCATTGTATCGCATGAATTTCATTTACAAAAACACGTTCATGCGACCATGCCGCTTACAAAGATTACGTAGTATCACAGAAAAGAATAGGATCATTTCATGGTGAATTTACTGCAATCTTAAGTGCAGCTGGAAAGGTATAAAGTCTATAACGTACAATGCCTATCGACAGACGCATTCATTCTGTAACATACAGTCCCATGCACGTGTATTGTTATGTGTATATGTTAATATTTATATCTATATGTTCATGAAGCTTGGACCACCTGAAAGGTGAATCTTTGATAAAATCAAATGAACGGGCTAATTTCAGTTGAGTGCCGTACTTCTGAATAACCCTATATGTATATACAGGGTGTTCATTATATTATACCATAAAAAGAAATCGAAAATTTTGAAGGCAAAGATTTTATGGATTCAAACATGTTAAAATGTGACATGTTTAGCTTTTTATTAAAATCTTGATTTATGCAAATTGCACAGATTTTTTTTAAGTCAAATAGCATACCCTTTTTCCACTGGATTTATCGAAAAGATTAAAATCAAATCATTGAGGTACAATTAGGTATTACAGTTATCCAATCGTCGAATGTCTCTTTTTGAACTTAAGAGAGATATCCGAGGATACAAAGATCTCGCGCGTTTTGTAAAGAGTCACAGATGCTTTCGATGTTTAAACATCCGTAATGAGAGGAGAATGTGCAAATTTATTTTTTTAAAAATTTAATCCTTATTTCAATTGAAAGATTATGGTATATATTAAAAATTCACTTTTACTGATTTAAATGCAGAATTGATTAAACTTATTCGCTTTTCTTTTGTACTGTCATATAAAAGAATAAGTGTATAATACATCAAGTGTTAGGAATGATCAAGTTATGATCATAAAAAATCAAATATATCAGAGTCTATTAAAAATATTTCTTTTGATTTGCATTAAGGACTTCATAAGTTTCGAGTAATAGATGAATTTTGAAGAAACATAATGCTCCATAAATAATAAGACCCAAAGAGTTATTTTTTCTGCTATTGTTTTATTTCTTCAAACATTCATAGCATTTATGGAGCTAGAAATGCCATGCAATAGTTTCATTGCACTCGGATATGTTGTTCAAGCTTAAAAGTTGCAGTATCGTATGATGAGATACCTAAATTGGCATAAACAAGATTTAAATATAAAAGTAAATATATATATATTCTTTGATTAACGAAATATTGAACATTCTGAATCGAGTATTTAGTTATTCTACGTCCAGATCAGGGAAGAATCTACAGAGTTGTTTTTTGAACTTGATACGAAAATAAAACTTAATCTCTTTCTTTTCACAGTTCGAAACGGCACTAGACTCGCAAACAAGTTCCTCCCCGGAAATTCATAAGGGATACTAGGAAGTCCTTGGCCATCGGCCAGAAATACAGAACGTGACTGATTCGTAACAGAAGAGTGGATCTCTTAGACCACAATTGTCTTTTGGAGTACGCGGTAATGCATCTCGACAACCGCAATCACTGCTATTCTTTAATGTAAGTCTGAAACTGTTTCACACGCTCGTATTTTTTCATTTTCATGATTTTGCTTTTGACTCGTTATAATTTTGAATATTAAGACGTAGCACGATACCAAGGCCACTTTAGTCAATAAATAGAATATAAATTGTAAGATATCTAGGGGTTTTCTTGTTTGCTTCACAGAATTGGTACCGACTATACTAACTACAGCTCGTGCTAAAATTGAAATTAGGATTATCTTGTCAATGACCGCACGATATGAACCACCGGATGATGGTAACGTATTAACTAATGAACAAATTCGCAGGAGATATCAAGATACGTCGTTAGTTATTTTTAAAGTAATTAAATCATTTTTCCTTTGATTTATCATTTTTTTTTTCAAATACTTTAAATTGCCTTTTTTTCTTTAGGAACAACAAAATAAAAAAGAAGTCGTAAACTATTTGAGTTTTGGTACCAGTCGTAGAACTATGGAATATAGTAATTTTGGTAATCAGCCTGTAATCGTACGAAGACCCGTGGGATCACCAGGTCACGGAGAAATTCAGGACACATCACAGGTTCGAAGGATATATCGAAAGCCACAAGAAACTTGTACTATAGTTTAATTAAAACCAATTCCCAACTAATAATAGAATAAAGTCATTCATTCATATTAATCCTAGAATTGCATATCCTATTAGATTTCATTTTTTCATACAACGTTATACACATCAATTTTTATGTTTCTTGTTCAGAGTACTTTTTAACATAGAATATTTGAAATATAGAACATCAGTGTTGTTATAGAGAATTAAATCCAAAAATATGTAAGACATTCAGTTTCCTAATAGCGCTGTATGAATATGTGTCTACTATTTTGTAATGAGTTTTATCTTTTAAGTAATTTCAATCATTTATTACAATAAAAGTCATATTAACAAAACTTTCAAATAACGATATAAACTTCAAAGTAGTTTAATCGCTTTATTGATAATTGTAGATGTTATACTGTTCTTTTGTAAACTACATACAACATATTATGGAGTATTACCAAGTAATTAAAACATGGCGGTTACATGTTCAATCTCATATACTTGATTCGCACTAGTAATGCTTTCTGACGCGTTATATTTTTACAATATAATTCTGACTCATTATTTTTAAATTATAAAACGTCTTTCAGAAATGTTTTAGCCTAAAGTGATCAATAATATGTCACTATAAGTGTGTGAGACTGCAAAATATAAATTGCAGCAATTTAGCAATTGTATTCCTCTAATCCGGCGTAAAGGGAGCCCTTGGGACTTATAAAGGTTGGTTCCTATAAAATATGTATTAAAGAACCGGAATAGGAGAGATTGGGTGACACGATCGTAGAAAAATAAAAAGACTCAGAAGCCATTGAACCCAGTCTTAAAACTGTCCGTGCGCTAAAAAAACCGTTTGCTTCGAATCCCACTCCTGAACTTATTGGTTCGACATTCATCGATTGTACGTTACGATGTGTTTAGGCAAAGATGAAGAAAATTATCTGGATAACTTAAATGTTCAGACAGCCATTGTAAAGGTGTTTCCAAAGGTGGCATTATTCCATGTGTTTGTACCTGAACTGAAATAAATTAAATGTGAATCAGTTGAAATTCCAGATATTAGTTGTAATACAAACCTTTCTCTTTATCTGGAAATACTTCATTCAGAAGGTGCTTCAGAGTCTTTCTTTGACCCTCCTCACTAACAGGCTTTACCAGCTTCTGGATGTACTTGTCCTCATTAGTGTAGCAACGGAAAGGAATATATTTAAAACCTTCATCATTATTACTAGCTTCCATGAGTCTGCGGTTTACAGCCCAGAATTGATCAAATTTATCGTTTAAAAGACCAAGCCACAGTTGATTGTGATCCTTCTTTTGCATACTAGATACCAGTTGGCCTCGATGTTTTAATACGTCAGCCTCTTTGATACAAGCCAAAAAGTGAGCTTCTACAACTTCCCTAAGAAATAAAAAATAACCAGTAAAGCGATCATCATTTCATAATGAAATAAATACGATTATACTTATTGTGACAATGCATTATGACATTCTCAGGAAATTTGTCAAAATGCACTACAATGTTCCATGGAAGTTGTATATCATTGGAGTAAATGTCGAAGAGAACTCCTATTGGTAGATGCCACTTTAATGGAATACCATTGAATTCCAACCACATCTCATTTTCCTGTTTGTCGAGTTGTATATGACGCATAAAATGCTTGCGTACCTAAACCACAAAGAATAAAATTTACCAGTATTGCTTACAGAATAAATGAAATAATCTGTGAAAGTACGTGCCTTATCAGTACACAGTGGAAAGTAACTTAACCTAGACACCATTAAATAAAACGGATCGGGTGCTTGCAGTTCGCAAACTTCCTCAGAATCCAGCTGAAAACAAACTGGAATTTTTCCTTCCCAAATTTCACGCAACACCTCCCGATCATTTGCCATTTTACTGGATATATTTTCAAAATTGAATTAATAGACGATGTTGACAGTTTACTTATACACAAGATTTGAAGGCTATGTTTTTCGTCTGCTAGGGGGTATTTCAATGTTCGTTTCCACTGTGAGGAGTTTAAACAAAGTTAACCAATCACGTATAGGAGTTGAATGGACTTGACCAATGAGGCTGCTTAACTCTGTTTAAACTGTGCACGATGGAAACTAAGTCAATGAGTACGCTTACACGACGGCTTAAGCCGCTTTAGTTCTTCTTCTTTATATATGTAGTTAGCACCAGTTGGGACACCAGTCCTCTACAAGCGGCCACAGCCGCTTTAGTTAATACTGATCTAAAGAAATAACCAATTTCAAACATTCCTTACAAGTAGGAATGTTTGTGATTCGTCATTTCCTTCAGATCAGTATTAACTAAACCGGTTTAATATTGTCGTGTAAACGTAGTAATTGATGTTTTCGTATTACCCGATTCGTATCGATTTATTTCAACACAAAACTACATTATTGGTCATTTCAAAATACATTCCCTTGGAGCCAGCGAATAGAGAGACAAGTTATATAATTGGATAGTTCATCTGAATTTGAAATCATCAGGGCATTATATTGTATTAATAAATTGAGGGCTAATATCTGATTACTCAGAGATGCGATCAGAAATCTTACTCAGGGTAATTCGGACTAATTCGGGTATGTTGCGTCTCTTTTATTATCGCTTTTATGAAGAGGATAGAATGATATTAGAATCGAATCATGTCAAAAATGTTTCCGTGATGTAGCCGTTGACAATTTCCTTTCCTTATATGTTTGAACCTTGTAAGACATTAAATACATTTTTTTCAATTTTGTTTTAAGAACCTATACTAGAATCGTCTCGAAAAAGGTAGAAGTGCTTTGCTTGAAATTGTATACAATTATTTTACATTAATTATGTAGTCTTTAAGTAATTAATTTTTTTTAATGCGTAGTATCGGTTTTATAAACAAAAAATAATTTTTTGGTGAAAAATCGTTACCTTAAGCAGACCTCGGACCTTTCATTACTATGCGAGTAAAATGTAAATGAAATCGTAAATAACGAGTTTTTGATAAAGATTCTTTCCCAAAACGGAGTTAGCGCACATTCTGCAAGGGTTGCAATTATTTTCATACGCCTTTTGCATTAATCAACCCAAAAGTGAAAAAATAATCCGACCCGAAAATTTCGGGTCAAACGACCTAAAACAAACGAGTAAATATATTTTTCACCTTTTACATAAACAATCAACTTTCAGCGACTTTGAATAAATTTACTTCCTCATATGGGTTGAGTGTCATCTATGCTCCGTTTAAGTGTCCTGAATATACATATATGTAATCATGAAAATTCAACGGAAAAATAAGTCGTACGTCCCTGTCTCATGTCTGTATGCGCGTTACACATTGTCACTAGTCTATTACACGTTTACCACATTTTTAATACAAAAACGAAGCATAGATTTTTGTGGACGGGCGGAAAATACATTGTGTTACAGTTTTAAGATCGAAATATGTAACGTGACTGGAAAGGGTAAAAATATTTTTTTTACACTTAGAGATATCAATATATTCCGCCCGATGTCGTTCCGCGACAATTTTATTACCCATCGAGGGTAGAATATTAATTTTCAAGCTTGCGTTGATTTCAAAAAGAACACTTCTCTTTGTTCTGGACATACTCCAACCCATTAAAAATTGTCAACGACCGTAGTAACATCCTTTATTATTATAACTCATTTTCTATTACCTCGGCATTAGCTCAGTCGATAAATTAGGTTACCCGTCAGAAGCAGTAGATAGCGCCATCTACATGCAATTACGTTAATGTTATAGAAATAAGAAAAAGTCCTCAGAGAGCTCCGCAAAGTTAGCCCCCCCTACTTTGACTTTCGACATTTTTCTTTTTACCAATCGATTGGTGGTCGTTTGGTGGTATTTGGTCAGTATTAACTAATCGGTTTAAGACCGTCGTCTAAACATAGCGTTAGTTTCCACCGTGCAGAGTTTAAACAGAGTTAACCAATCACGTATAGGGGTTGAATGGAATTGACCAATAGGGCTGCTTGACTCTGTTTAAACTCTGCACGGTGGAAACTGACGCTATGTTTAGACGACGGTCTTAAACCGATTAGTTAATACTGACCAAATACCACCAAACGACCACCAATCGATTGGTAAAAAGAAAAATGTCGAAAGTCAAAGTAGGGGGGGCTAACTTTGCGGAGCTCTCTGAGGACTTTTTTACTATTTATAGTAAACTCAAAAATGAGCAATACTGTAGAACGTCGATTAACTACGACCAGGTTATTGGTATAGCGAATTAATTGTGTTCGCCGTGGTTTGAGTCGTAAGGCTTACCTCGTTCCACTCTGTGCCTGATATGACACACTGTATGATATTACAAGTACAGAAACAAAGAGCATTAGGATTCACTAGCTTATATAAAAATATCACTAGGTAAAATTTTACGGATTATGCAGTTCGAGCTAACTAAATTGGGATTAACTAAACTTGCGCTTCAATTTAAACAATAATATCTGACATATCACTTATTTTGTGTAAATCGATAAAAGATCTATGTAAATATTGAATTGTGGCTTTCTTTTATCCAAGTTCCCTCCGGTTTTGCACATAGTTGTACTGACGTCAGATTACACTGTACTTAGATAGTCCTTATTGCGAACAAGTATGTTAATAATGCTAATAAAGCCAACTGACTAAATCTGTATAAACAGTTAGCACCACTTCGTTGGTAACGTGTATAATTATAACGTAAATTATCGCATTTGCCGAAAGTAAACAATGTGGGCCACCAGGGAGAAGTTAACGTATGGATTTCTTGAGCTTCAATAACAACCCAATAATCTAAACCCCTTGGGCGTCATTGACGTACTGATGTGCACATTTTTTGTGCCAGAAACGGCATTGACGCAATAGTGCACACATCGTTTATTTTACGATTGACTCCGACGATTTTTGTGCAACTTGGTACTTGGGTGTTTTTTAGGTCGCTGAATACGAATTTGATGTGAGAACTGGAAAACTCAACATTGCGGATCCAATATGGCCGACCAAAATGAAAAGCCTAATTTGAAAGAAACTCGGTACTCAGGGGTTTTCAAGATTTAAAAAATCGCTGATTACGAATTTGAACTTAAAGTTGGAAATTCAAAATGGCGGATCCAATATGGCAGACCAAAAAATCAAAACGGTGGCTCGAATATTGTGCGGAAAAGACTAAAAATTCTACTTTTCACATTTTTAATTTCTAAATTTCCATCTCAAATTCCTAATCAATGACCCAAAAAACATTAATGACTTATGATTCATCGAAATCGAACTTTTTTTCCTATCGTTTCGGGCACAATAAGATTTCGCTTGCCGCTCAAGGGGTAAAACAAAAATAAATATGCAGCAGACTCTTCATCACGATGCCACCGGGTCAATCCTATATAAACAGGTTAGGAATGTTCAAAACACAAAAAAGACCGCTTTTTAAATTTATCGGTACAACCCTATTAGAAAGATAGTTTATGATACGAAACTCGAGATGGCGACGTTAGTCAATTCCACATGGTAATGGTACATACAGTTCAATGACTGACACTAGGAAACGAGACAATCTTTATTATTCGATAGATTTGATGCTTTAACCTTTCGTTCGCCATAGACAAGCACCAGCCATTATCTTTTAAAATACTCTATGACAAGCCACCCTGTTATCAGCATGACCTTTGACCAGTAATATGAAAAAATCTTCAGCAAAAATTCAAACAGTAAGAATTTCTTAATAATAACAGTGATAATTGTTGGTTACATGAATCGAAATAGGGTAGAATAGATAAAGTCCATCGTGCCGTGCACCTACTTTGAAGCACATACCGTGACGATGATTTTTGTATTCTATTGCCCAGGAGAATCAACGACCGAATCGAAACCAGTGCACGTAACTTCACCTGGTTCCCACGCAAGTTCACCATTTCGTTCTCTTATGTTATTATCCTCTACTCCCTACTCGAATTTCGAGTTGGACGCAATTACGTCTGCCGAATATTCCGTTAAACATTCCGCAGTATCGCCGAAATAAAGAAATTATCACAGTAGCTCGTATTTATCGAATCCACGAGTATTGAATGTATTTCTGTAATTTTGTATCGTATTTTCTGAAGGCTATTATAGCAAAGTCCAACTACCGTTTATCGGTAAATAAATTGCGATAAAAGAAATTGAAAAAATAAAAATAAAAATAGTGGATAATGGGGTTGTGAGAACTGATACGACGTCGAGTCTAGAAAATAAAAAGAATAAAAATACAGTGAAATAGATGCAAAAAGTAATGAGTTCGTGAACTACTAAAACTAGTGAGTAAACAAGGAAGTACTGACACTTTAATTGCCGATAGCAACTAATTAACAAAAAAAATTTGAGCACGCATTATTGTAGATATTAACTATAAAGATATCTTATTTGTACTGCTTGTATAATGTATATTAGAATCGTTAAAAAATTATAAAATTAACAACGTATATCTGTATAGAGGGCAAACATGTCGGCACATCCGCTGTAGACCGGAACTCAGTCATAGCAACCGGTCAGAACTGAGAGTCAAAGTCATTTCACGCGTGGCGGAGCGCGGAAACGGCCGTTTATTCGGAGATTTCGTTCATAAATCAGACCCCCTTTGAAATGGGCCTTGTTCACGGGGGGTTCTTTGGCAAGTAGGATCGACACAGGATGAGTAGATATAATATACGTCCTGCTCGAATAAGACCCACTGACAGGCCTAACATTAATCTACTCTTAAATACTTGTACCTATTTAAATTAGCCGTTAGATCGAGTAGTATTAACAAACTGGCGTATTCATAGGACCTGACATTTTCTCGATATCATTTTGATTTGTGTATAATCAGCAGATGATCATCGACATACGGAAAGCGTGAAGAAAACGTAAATTTAGCTACTCTTATAGTACGCTCCAGACTACCTACCTGTTGGATCATTTTCGACCCTGGGTCTCATGGCATATGCTTGACACGAAGGGACAGATGGCAAAAGTGTTGGGATCGGACTGGTTTAAAGGGACCGGGATCCGGATGGGTCCGAAGATGATGCACAATCAAAACCATCTTTGGATCATTAATGAGATCGTTACGAGACTCGTGCTTGATAAATTTTACAACTTATGGAGTTTAATTTTGAAAAAATTGAAATTTTGATTTTACGAATATTTTAATGTTTCCTAGTGGCAATATTTTTTACATTTGAATCTACGCGCTGACTCGAATGGCTGTATATAATATTATCACGAGCTATCAGTATTCGAGAATAATTTATCTGTTACTCTGTAGATAAAGGCTGATAAGACATAATGAAAATATTGCCGAAAATGACGCGCGAAACATCTTAACACCTGTAACCTTCAAAACTAAACTATATTATTTTTCCACGTGCCTCCGGGCAATGCTGAATAACGTGTGTGGAGATCTCTAGTTATGTATGTGAATACGAATGCATATGTACTTGAGATATATACATGGACGTGCGCCACAGCTGCCACAATGGCGGGCAAGGTGGCTTTCGCTGAGTAAAGAAGAAGCAGAAGAAGTAGAAGACGAAGAATTAGGATAGCGGCAACCGATGGGGCCCAACGGAACTCGCGGGCACCGCGAAGACTGTATACACACACGTGCGAAATGAACACGCATGCATTCGCTGTATAAGGGCATGTGTTAGTAACATGTCATTAAATCGAAAGCACTTGCCAGGAAGAGGCAGTGGCCACCTGATGCTCGACGTGGCTGAGCCCTGGGCCTGGGGTGCCTTATTCTTTCTTTGCAACGGCCGACGCGTTGCGTGATTCGGGGGGTTGCCTTGTGATGGATCCACCAGATCAATAGATCGATAACGAGAAATGCAGGTGCTGTGAAATGTTTGAAGAAGAGACTCCTATGACTTAAAATTTTTTCGAAAATACCAAATATAGTGTTTTTTTTTATAAATAATGTTTCAACTTATTTTCAGCACTGACGAGCTATCTTGTTTTTCGGTAAATCGCTTGGAATTTCGTGGATATGGTAAAGTATTATTAAAAGATTGATAAAAAATATTGTTTTACGATTTTTATATAATCCAGCAAAACGATCAACCCAATGTTCCATATTATATTCATTTTATGTACGTGTACTATAAACCCCGGTAAATGCAAAGATTTATATATCGCCAAAATTACAATATTCATCTCAAGGGTGTAACAATTATGTATTGCATGTGTTTTTTAATTATTAAATCTATGAGTATAAGGCGGATGTCCTGTGTAAGTGACTTTTGTCTGCTACATATGATACATTGTCAGACTGTTGATATAAACTGCCCAAAAAATAACATTTATTAATAATAAAAGAGATTGATTATTATAAGTTAAGATTTATATAATAATTTTTTACAACGGTCAGTGTCGTCTTATTGCCTGCAGATAATGAAAGGTATAACCCAAAACGCTCCGTTGTGAAAGTGCTAATATTAACGATATGTAACTGTTACTTTATGAATACCAGGTATATGATCCTACCTATATCTGTGTGTCCATGCGTGCTTATGTCCTTGTCAAAAATGCAGGCGGTTCTGTGAAAATGATCAAATTCACATTTATGAGAAAATTCTAATTTCGCATGTCTGTGGGGTAATGAAGTTCACGGATGTTTACCACTTCTAGTATCACATAGAGCAGCTACATATTTTTAAAAAATGTCTGTATTTGATAAAATCATTAAGAGATCATTTTGTATGTAATATAAAGCACTAATCATATTGGTTTGAAATTTATAGAAAAAAAAAGTTCTAAATTAAGATGGAATAATGAAATTTGCTAATGTTACTCTCAATTAATGCAACATGCATGTGAAACTTCGAACGTCTTAAATTTTACTAGAAATGACAGTTCGCAGTATAATATTTGTGCGGAACTTTAAGTTACAGGCTCGCAAGGTAAACTTACTCGACACTTTTAAGAAGTTTTGGTCTGAATTCTTTTTCTTGAAGTATCCATGAATGTGGCAAATGGGCCTTATCCCTCAAGGGGGTGGTGTCTCAAGAGGACGACGGTTAAAAGTCGTTCGGGGCCTGCGTGGGACCTTCAGGTGGACGTGAAACTTTTTAGTTAGGACTCAAGGCGCTGGGGTGCACCTGCTATACACCTGTTGGCCGTTGCGGTGGCATCCTGGACGATGAGAACGACTTCTAGGCTGTTCTTCTGCTGCTGCTGTTGCCAGTCCCATATTCCCATATGATATCGAGCTCTCGTTCGATACAAAAACCTCAAAGGCACTCTAAAAATGATTCACCAAACGAATCTACGATTCGAATAGAGAAATATAAAGCAATAATAAAATCCTGCTGCTCGATAATATTTATTATTATAAATATGGTCTACCATTATTTTCTAACACTAATGTTTATCAAGCCATGGAATGATGATTTATTTCATAAACGATAAATAAAATTTTAGCACTCAAAATATTTGAAATTTTCAAACTGAACGTTCGTGAAAGAAGAATACTGACGAAAATTATAAAGAATAAAAAAAGAACTAAATATATGGACAGGAGATCGAAAAAGATGATGGCGCTCCACAGAGGGGGCCTGATACACTTTTAATACGTGACTGAGAAGGAGCCCCCTGCGCAGCAGGTGCACCGCAGGTTATTCTCCACCCCATCTCGGGTTCTCATAGGGCCCAATGGTTCTCTCTCATCTCTTGGGCCCTCATCCCATAGTCCAAATCTCCCTTTGATCACTCTGGACACCCTTTGGGACCTCCTGCTTCTAGTGTCCAGTACTTCTCTATCGTATCTTCAGTTCGTATGTCTTTTATTACAGTGACCTAAGAAATTCATTCGCCAAAAAGGTAGGATACTTTCGTTTATTTTTCAGAATAATTTAAACAGAAGAGTTTTGTCTGTATGTGGATAACTAACTAAATGGGCCCGATGCTGAGGTAGTTTAGTTAAGAACCAACCGCATGGGGGTCTAAGGGTCCAGCAATGTAGTGGCAAAGACATGAGGGTCGCTAGTGCCCCATAAATTCCAGGAGTATAAACATCCAAGCAGGCTCCATTGCTAAAGTCCTTTGGACTGCTCCGAGAGTTCCTCCTACGAGCATCTCTTTAAGGGTCCCTCGCCACCCCCACTCTCCTGGGACTACCAGCATCAAGGGTGCAGCGTCTAAGAAAAAAAGGGAGCCAACCCTTTTGAAATGCCGACCGATGGGGGATACTGAGGGTGAAAATGTAATTGATACGCTTCGATCGTTTTCGAGGATTTTGTTTGAATTTCATTAACCTAACTTAAAATCGAACCCAGTAGACGAGACGCTGTAGTATCCTTCCAATTAGTCATGGATTCCCGCTTTTTCGTTGAAGCATTTTTTTTCCTTCATCGACAAAAAATCAATCACCCAACCTCGTAATCTAATAATAATAATAAGAAATCAGAATATGACAAAATGGATTCGCTAAACTCTCAAAGGTGCTAAAATTTTTCGTACATTACGTAAATATTTCTCCTGCATCTCAATTCTTAATTACCGGCTACTAGTAATGAGAGAATTATGTATCGCGAACTATTATAACGACCTTAATAGCATATATTCATAATTATTTAAATAAAATTCTCAATGAGAATAAAAAATAATTAAATTTCACAGAAATTTGGTAAGTCATCGTGCTATGTTAAATATTCACTTAAAACTACAAATCTGTTTATATTTTCCACCAAAAGTGCACTACGTGTAGATTAAATTAAAAAATTAAAAAATGACAGACGATAGAACTACCTTAAGGCTTCTGTCCAATGAATATTAGCACGCGGGATACGTATGAAAAAAGCTTGCGAACTCGCAATTAAGACACTTCGATTACGAAGGAAGCACATCAGCTGTTCTCTAGTCTCCATAAATATAAATTTATTCGAACATGTCAATTATATTCCGTAGCTATGCACTCTCTTCCCAATAGGTACCACTACACATTGCATCGTATACTACCCATGTATGCGAGAGCATATGCTATCCAGCAGCAGCAGGAGCAGACGCAAGAACACGAGCCTGAAAATATATAAGGATGGGTAGGTGCGGGTCAGGTACAAAATATATGCAGGCAAAAGAGTTACCGTAGGTGCGACTGATTGGCAATGCTGCGTGCAGAATAAAGTTGAAATACTGCTGGTAGTCGTGCGAAAGAAAGTATACAGGATAAGGATGGAGTAAGAGAAAGAATGAGTAGAGGAGAGTGAAGGTGGTAAAGGGTGATAGAAGGTTGAATGTGTTCGGAGTAAAAGAAGTGGAAGAAGATGGAAGAAGGCAGAAGGATCCGAGCAAGGTGCTACCAAGGTGACGGTTGAAGCAGCTGATCTTCGAATAGCAGCAGGTGAATGTAGAAAGGTTATATGTACGTATGGCACATATATATATATACAGATTTGTATATGGATGTAGGGATTCCATGTGTGTATTAAAGACGTTTCGTTATTGTTACCAGGGGAGTGGCAGCAATGCTTATTTATTGCTGATCTCCAGGACGAATAATAAATTCGTATTAAGAACTCGAGAAATTCGGCGAACTGACCATTATTCGATTCGTTATGCTCACCAGCCATACATCCAATAATCTCCCTTCCCTTGGATGGTCACAATTTTCTAGTTCCGCCTTTGATACGTGCACGCGTACTGATTTCGTTCATTATATCACTGTTAAGAATTTTTACGAAAGTTTCTATCGTGACCTTTCTATTTTTTATAGATCTAATAGAAAACTGATCTAGGAATTTTTTAAGGCAAGGGACCAAGAGAAGCCCGTTATTTTTCCCTAGCCGCAACCTGCCGGTCAGTTTCTTCTCAAAACGATTGCACTTGTGGTTACATCGAAGATTGTGCAACTTTTTATTTTCATCCCCACTGCCCTTCGCGGCCACATATTGTCCCACCATTTGACGGGTTTCCTGCGGTTTTTTCTCCTCTTCTTTCTCCGAGAAGGAGAATGGCATATACGTTCGTATATGAAAGTCTGTATATCACATGTAATGGCGAATAGGAAGTTCCTCCCGAGTCGTTCCCATGTTACCCTCTTATGGGGTTTTCCGTTGTCGCCGCTTCCCATGGACTTCCTAAACATTGACTTCCTTAAGGAGGCGAGCAGATGGCCTATTAATTCGACGGTCGCCACTTGTAAGAAGCCAGGCTCATCTATTGGCTTCCTCGTCCTTCCCACTCTTCAACCAGAGAAAATACACTTGCCGCTTACATCCTCGCTGGCCTCTCACCCTCCACCACCCCTCAATCCCTCGTCCGCTCACACGCTGACCTCTCACCTTTCACCCGCTTTTCCATCCACCTTCCTCTTCTTGACCTAGGACCCCACTGCACCATTTGTCCTGCAAATGTGTTAATAGGTTTTGTACACCATGTTGAAGCCTTCTCGAACGTATTGATTCTGCATATTTTTCGATCTGCATTTTCTTAATTGGAACTGGTACCGTTTGTGAGTGTTACGAACAGATTGGGTTAGGCGTGGGAGAGTCTCCGATGAAGTGTCAGATCGAGGATATCTCGGATGAAACAGTATCTCGCTGAAGTGGTATGAAAACGTTATTCTTTAATGATCGGCACGAGAGGTGGAAGTGGAGGAATCGTCAGAAGAAGTTAAAGATGAAAATGAGGGCGGTGGTCCGGCATGTTCAGAGAGATGCAAGGCCGAGATGCATCTTCGGAATGAAATAAAGGGTAGGCAGATGATGGTCAGGGACTAGCAGGGAACGGAGTAGGACGTCGGGATGTGAGAGGAGAAAGGGAACTGATAGGATCTCGAATGGCTCCCGTCTTCAGCGTGACTAGTAAGACCCAGGGAAGCAGGCCCCTTTGACAATTGCCGACGCGTATAACCCACTACGGAATATTGTTTTGATGTTCAATTACCTCACTTCTATTTAAAATTTCTTTATGTTCTTCTTCCGTGCACCTACTGCGAATTATACACGTTTTAGGTAGTTCCTACATTTTTTATCCTTAAAAAGGTAATTACAAACGGAATAGATAATATAAAAAATACAATGTCATTCAGGTATCGCATATATAAAACGTGCGGGTTAACAAATTGCATAAAAAAATTTGTTGCAAAAACGTTAGTTTTTGATACTTTTCGAAATTACAAAAATGAAGATTTGAAAATAATTGCACTTACCATGTGCAACTTAAATAGCAATTTGCGTAGTATTATTTTCTATTATGTCATGTAAGTAGACTGAGTTACAAGTTATAGTTATTCGTGCTATTCTTTATAAGGCTAGTGGATTATCTATTTTGTGCTAATGATGTCACGAGACAGGGACCAATTGGAAATAACATAATGTGAAATTAGCATATTTATCAGTATATTTAATAAAATATTGAAATCCAGAAATATAACTTGAAAAAGGATTCGACTTTCCTTATTTTTGCATTGAATTTTCCCGAAAGAATCGACGCTAAAGGACGTTTCAGATACGTTGAATATACATCTCGTATAAGTGAGCGTGCAAGTATATATTTAAAACATATAAAAATCTCATGTACACTCAATCCTAATGTAAACGTAGAGCTTGTGTATAATAGAGGGAGGAGGGTCTGATGGAAACACAGTGAAAGAAAAAGGAAGCTGGAAAGAAAACTGGTTGCGTGGTACCATGGGCCCACGACAATGGCGGCCGGGAATACGTAGGCGCCTTAGGTCCTCTATTCAAGAAAGCCAGAATAGAATTTGAGAAAAGATGCGGGAAGGCTGCTGTGCTTCTAGGCATATAAATTTAGGAACAGAGTGTACGTGTCTACCGAAGGACATATAACTTCTAGAGTATTTCCGATAAAACAACAGAACACGATAAGATAGACGTATAGACGCGATAGGCATTTCGGTCCTACGTAAGACCTCGCTAGTGGCGAACTAACGGTAAAATCAGCGAAGAAACTGGCAAACTGAATGCCAACACGAAGCGAAGAATAATACTCATTGCGCCCGAAAGAAAAAGCGTGGCGCTCTTCGTGGATACAATTTCACGCGTGTTCGTGGGTATGCGTGCGTTAGTGGTATATGTGCGTATCCACCTGTTGCCCCCACTTTTCGACTGGAAACACGCACATAGAGGGGCTCGGTCGGACCCTAGCCTGAGGTGACGCTCTCAGAAGGATAATGGGGTGGGAGAAGATCCTCGAGAGGAACTGGCTAGGTAGAGGGAACGCTGGTAATGCTGCTCGTGGATAAGAGAAAGGGATACACCGGGGGCCTTATGGAGAATGAGAGTGGGGACTATGGGCAGAAAAATGAAAGAAAAAGAGAAAAAAGTAGAGAAGAAACTGGAAGTGGGGGA